ACACACACACACACACACACACACACACACACACACACACACACACTCACACATATTCTAAAGGCCACTTTATTGCAGTCATATTCGTCGTCTATGACATACAGTCTGACAGACATATGAACTCAACAGAGCCTCGAGAAATTAATGTAATCAGTTACTCCTCTGCTTCATAGGAATCAAACACTTCATTTAATGTAACACAGCCGTGTCCAACGAGCAGCAATCGTCATTTATAACAGAGGTTCGTCAAACTATGTGTGAACATGATGAGAGATGTTCGTTTGTGTCCCAGCAGATCTGTTTATCATCAGGAAAGACCAGAGGAAAACCAGGTTGAGTCCGTATCTCTGACCTCAGTCGTGATTTCAGTCGTTTCAGTGATCCGTTTCCCGTTCCAGTCCAGATCTGGGTTAGGGTTAGAAAAAAAAAAAAATCAATTTTTTTACATTTAAATTAGTCAAATGTTTCATTAATTCCCAAAAATAGATCTAGAAATGTGTGTATTTTATTTAATGAGGTTAATTTTGTATTGAAAGGGAATCCAGTACAGTAATTTTGTCCTGTATATTATATACATGAAGAGTGAAGAGGTTATTAAAGGGACAATTCACCCTCGCATGATTTTTCTTTTTTTCTGTGGAACAAGAAAAAAACTCCTGTTGTTTTCTGAGGAGGACAGAACGATTTGTGTGAAGTGTCTCTTTAGGATGTCAAAGCCCGTTTATATTAATTACAAAAATTAGAAATACTGTGAAATTTCAAATTCCACATGAACCCGCACAAAAAAATGAAGCATATATATATATATATATATATATATATATATATAAATTTGATTTGAATGTATCATTGTATGAAATTTATAAGATCATATAACCTGAGAATTACCGGAAGTAACTCCATTGGAATGAATGGAATTTAATTACATTTCCTTTGAATTTATTCAACTCATGACTGCCCAAAAAGAGTCCAAATATATGAAACCTACATAAATATTACTCTGAGAAGATTTCAAACAAAATATATTTATTTTACTTGTATAAACTTTCACTTTCAGATGAAAAAGTGATCAATTGTTCATGTCAGTAGATGTACATATTTATGTTCATCCAGAAGTGTGTGAGAGATGGGGAAAAGACCATATCTTTTACAAACGTCTTTTGACACTAATATGACTTCATAGATCATTTTATAAAAAGTATTTTTGACACCTAACAAACCCGGGTCAAAAATTACCTGAACAAGAAACGTGTAGGCTTTTTATTTTTATTTCATAAATGGTAAAATCTCTTAAAAAATAGTAAAAATCTGAATAAATAAAAGAATGAATGAATGATGTGTATTTTGCGTGTCTTAAAGCATTTGCAAAGTTCCGTTTCCTTACTAAAAACTATGCTTTTTTTTTTTTATGTTTATAGCAATGACACAAAGAACCATTTCTGTGGAACATTTTGATAATCTAAAGAACTTTTTTCCACTATGAAGAAACCTTAGTGGCTTTATGGAAGTTAAAGATTCTTCATGTAACCATCAATGCCAATAAAGGAGCTTGTTTTTGAAGTGTAGCTGTTTTTTCCGGGTTACTGTATCTGTGCTTGTGAACGGATGGACTGCGTATGTTAGCTCTGAACATGAAGCTTCTTCTAAAGTTCTGACATCATTTATCCCTCCTGTGTTGTAGAACCTGTCCTCCATGTCTCCTCTGGATGAGCCGCTGGCCAGAGACTGGAAGTGCTACATGTCACCGCAGGGACGCAGATACTACGTAAACACCGTCAGCAACGGTAAGAGCCTCCAACCACAGCACAATCAACAGGGCCAAAAACTGTGGGCCATAAGTAAATGTTGCATTATGTACAACTATATTATATTTCATTGTATCAACATATATACATTTTTGTATTTTAACATATTTTTTTTTTATTAAGTCAAATTATTATAATTTTTTTTTTTACATTTTCTTTTTTTTTTTTTTTTTACATTTCAATGCAAAAATAGAACAACAATTTTAAAACATAAATATAAATATTTCCCCCCTCCTCTTGTGATCACGGGCATCTGCACTAGACCAGTCAGTCACTAGTCAGTCGTGCAGTATTTTCTCTGTGGTTGCTGTAGGTGTTGTTGTATAGCTGTGAATGTCTGCGGACAGTCAAGCTCGTCTGGTACACGCTGATCTGACGGGATCAGAGGACACTTCTCATTGTGTCCAAACAATCAGCATTGTCCCGATCAGAGCCATCAATCAGCACACGATGCCATGCTTCTGTGCATTCTGTATAGCACTGTTAAACGTGAAGAAAAGCTTTCAAAAATTGCTTTTTACCTGCTATAACATCTCTAGGTACTTTTCTCACATTTTAAATGCATCTATGAAGTTTTCATGGCCACGTTCTGCAAAATTCACACTAGCATTCATACAAATGTGTTGCTAAAAGAAGCATCATCACTTCTGCTGCTCAAATTCAGCACATTGCATTCGTCTCAGCACTGCTTTAAAGAAGACTTTCACTTTGAATGTATGTGAGCATATCTTAATTATTCCCCAAAAAGTTTTAACATGCTTTTTTATTAAGTAAAACGTTTTTTTTTTTTTACAAATATCATGAATTATTAATTTATTAATATCATGATTTTATCATGACTTTATGCCTAATAAATGCTCACCATAGAAATCAGTGTACAATATGTATGAATTGAAGGTATTTTTAAATAATAAATGATAAGATAGGACAAAAATGAGTGTTGTGATTGACGTTAATATATATATATATATATATATA